ATATAATATAGTATAGTATAATATTATAATAATAATAATAATAATAATATATATATATATATATATCACTACTGGGATCACTGTGTGTGCTAAGAAGGGAATAAATGGAATCTAGAAGAATTCTTTCGGGCAAAAGTGCCACGCAAGCTTGGTCTCCAAGAGGTAAACTAGTCGGCGAGCAAGTGGGGCTCCCCCCCGCGCCTGACCAAGATTGCCAAGACGGTGCCGCACAATAATTGTTCTAAATTCCCGGCACAATGCACCATTAGCAGCGAGTCACCGAATGCTCCGGCATCTCCCTTGAAAGGAGGATTGGGAGCTGTGCCCAGGACCCTTCCAGAAGAGGCCTAGGCCTGCGAACATGAGCAAAGCGAACATGACTCTGCTGCCTCAATAATTAGAATAGGGTTTTGGGGCCCATTATACTATAATCATAATAAGGAACCCCCCAAAATAGTATTGGTAATTATTTAGGCCCCTCTCCTGCTGCCGTCCTCCCGGCGGGGCCTGGTCAAGGCTTCCCACAAAAAACACTCTGAAAGGGGTCGCGGTATGACCAGAGTCCTGTGTGTCACCTAAGCGGTAAGCACGAGCCACCCCACGACCACAAAAAAGAACCAACTTTTGTGTCTCACCCCGTTTCCGAAGCTTGCTTGCGCGTTTGGCTCAGAAGTCAACTTAAACCCCGGCAACAATACGCATGTCAACGGCCACAAGAAAGAGCATGTCCGAAAGCGCTGTGAACAAGGAGTCAGCGGGCTTTCCATCAGGAGAAGTAAAACTCGCCAACATATCCGATCAACCCGATCAATACATCTGATTACAGACACCGTAGCTGTAGCTGTCTGTGCCCTCGAGAGATGGGATTGATAACCACCTGCGACTGTCGAGATGTCGCTATCCACGCGACTGTCGAGAGCTTGAACCCGTCGTCACCCTCTTGCACATATTTAGAGAGGCTTCATGACTTCACAATCTCTCCGCGAGCCCTTGAGGAGGAGTCAAGGCCTCACAAAGAGCTGCAGCAGCTGCTCGACGTCGAAGTGGGCGGCCATTCCTGAAGAGCTGCCTGGGAGGGCAAGGCTACAGCGGATGCAAGGTTGATCACTCTCAAAGCATCGAGATCTTCATGTACTTGCAGCTCAACTTTCAACCAGGCTGCATCAGCGATGCGCTGGGCAAGCCTGCCGAATGATGAATTACTGCTCATTCCTTCGCCCTTCCCGTGAAGTCAGGGGTTGGGGCTCTGTCATAAAACAGTCGCCGCCTACAAGGACCCCATCAAGAAAGTTGGGTTGTGCTGGAATAAAGCTTTCCAATTTTGCCTTGCTTCTCGAGCTGTGGGGTGTCCACCAGGTACACAGCCCCATCGTACTGCACAAACACGGCCTGGTCGACGCAAGGCAACTTGATCCCGATTCTTGCTGTTGCTGGTGCAGGCCTTCGGAAGTGAGCACAGGCTCGGCGGCCTATTCTCAAGGCCCGCACACTGCCTTGAATCACCAAGCACTTGCTTTGCTGTGTTCCCAGCGAACTTCTGCAGTGCAACGAGAGCCAGGCGGCGTTTCTCTCGGACTTGCGGACATCTGCGCTGGTCCTGGGGGTTCTGCAACCCACTCGGACGGAAGTCAGTCGTGCTGCAGCTTTCCCACCTGCTCATCTCTGAAACTAGACTCACTAGACTCCGTGACCCTGCTGCCCTGGCACCTGGCTGTGGCCGTCGCACATCCCGAACTGTTGCCTCTACCTGCGGTGACAACCTGGCATCCGAGGCCCCGCGAGCTCTTGAGGGTGCGAGAAGGACATCCGAACAACTTTGACGGCCTTTACCCCTCCACCAGTGGTCTAAGGTACGAAATACGAGGACTTGCTGCCCTCGGTGAAGATGCGCAGAGAAGCGAAAGCCAGTGCGGCGTCTCCGACGCGAGCGGAGGGCTGGCTGCAGCAGGTGGCACGGTAGCCTCCAGGTTTCGAAGCCCCAGTGCAAGCATGTTGACACTAGTATGGGATATCCAAAGGCTTCCAGCCTGCCAGGGGAAGAGGTACGACAAGACGGAATGCAAAAGCCACCAGATGGGCCACCTCGGTTCAGCGCGCCATCTTGGGTCGGCAGAGGAGGCGGGTCCGAGTCTGGCACTCTGTTCGGAGCAGCGTGAGAAGATTGAAGCTCTCAGGCTCCAGGTTCTCGCAGTGCTTGATGTGACCTTCGGCCTGAAGCGAGGACTCAGGCTCAGGCCAAAAGGCCCAAAGAGCAAGAGCAAGGCTGTTACCAGTGCAGCCCAGACACAGAACCTACAAGATGCTCGGCCTGCATGCCGAGGCGGTCTGAAGTCATACAGAACAGCACCCAGCGCCCGGCCTCTTTTCGGATCTGCTCGTCCTTTTCTTGAGCCAAGACCAAAGCAGAAGCCAGGTAACCGACGGCCTGAAGCAGCAGAAATTGGCCGGACGGCAGCGGCCAACGCAGCCCAACGGGTTGGATGGAGTTTCTTAGTTCTTGCGTGGGGTTTGAGAAAGTCTCAATCATCCGCGGCATGTTCTCAGCGCCGAGTGGGGGTTCTGCATGCAAGAACAAAGGATCCTCCACATTGCTGAGGCACTCACTTTCGCCGCAGAGCACAGGCTACTACGCTGCGCCGGCTCCCGTGGGTCTGCGCGGGCCAGGAAGTGCACCGAGTCCTCCCCACATGGACGAAGGCTCAGTGGAGGTGGAGTCTGAAGCAAGGAGGTGTGGCCGGACGCGGGTCGCGAGAGCGCTTGCCAACGAGAACCGCAGAAATTCCCTGATGCTGAGGACTCTGCCACCAAGGGCGGCGTCTGGCCATGTACTAGGTGACCGTGAACCTCTGTGGCTTCGGACGGAAGTCATCAAATCCAAGTGTAAGCCATGAGACTCAGACTCAGCCCGCGGCCCAATTGCGGAAGCGGACATGGTCATCGGTAACCAGGGGCTGCCATCCTGGGTCGTTGCAGCCCAAAGCCCAAGGAATGCATTGCTGCAAGCTCGGGGCACCATGCTGAGCAGCGGCATCTGACGAGATCGCCTGCCGGGTACCAAAAAGAAGATACATGAGACTGGTTTGTCACAACGCGTCTTCGAGCCTCCTCCCCTTCCAGCTGAACCTGACAGCAAATGCGGTGACACTTCTTGGCTCGATCCAGGTCTTCCTACATGGGTGCGAACTCTTTTGGTGTATTGTTTTTTTTTTGGGGGGGAGGGTATATCAGCAGTTTGGAAGCAGCTCAGCCTAGCCTGTGCAAGGTGCAGGAGTGCGAAGAGCGGCCAGCGGCTGGCTCCAATCTGCCAGAGTTCCCACAGTCGCAACTCCCATTTTCTCGCCATCTCACTGCTTCCGCCTTGGAAAAGGGACTGTCCATCAGCACAGTAACGACCTCGCCACCAATCCCCGAGAGCTCTCGGATGCGCTCCTGCATTCACACACACGCAAACCACACGGACACATGCAGAAAACCAGAGGTGTTGCAAGGGCATGCGGAGATGGGTGGACGAAAGCTCAACAAGCGGAATTCTCAAGCTCCTGGAGAGCTTTTGCGACACTCCCTCGAGCTCCTGGCGCTCCGTTCGCAGCATGTGGAGAAGATGTAGACAGACCGCACCTGCACCGCAAGATTTCTCAGCGAATTGCAGTCGTAGCATCCGAACATCTCCGAAACCGCGAAAGGCACCGTGCACGCAGGCAGAGGGTCGCATCGGTGGCAGTGGCCTTGGGGGAAGCGTCCGCGGAGCGTGGGGCTCAGAAATCCCCAGTCTCTCTGAAGCAACGAACATCTGCGAGGACACGCAGCTGGGCCGAGCGAAAGCCAAGCGCCGAGCTCAGATTCCTTCAAAGACTGGAGCCTTCCGTGCCCATCTCGTCCATCACCGGCCACAACCTCACACACTCATGAAATTTTCTCTTGTCCGAATTGCCTGAAAAAAAAGGAAGGCAATGGGACCTGGCTTAGCCGCGAGTCCGCGAAACACCAAACTTTACTCGACACTGACTTTCATTTTCGGCTCACTTTCGGCTCACTCGAGTGAGAGTCGCCGCAGGCCAAGACCTGCACCTGAGCACCCAACCCACAGCAGTTGCCTCACCTGCGTCACAGTCACGTGGAGAGTTGGAAGCGCATCTGCAGAAGGCGTCGGCGACTTGCCCGTCCGCGGGCACAAGTCAATGGGATCGAGTGTTGCGCATTCTCGTATGGTCACTGATCTCCCCCTGTTCGAAACGCGGTATCTTAGATGCACCATTTGCACATTTTTGAAGAATCCCATGCCGCCAGAAACCTAGCACCAATCATGGCCTGCTCCCACTCCTGCCCGGCACAGGGATCGCTGTCTGCAGTGGCCTGTGAAGATCTCTCGGGCTGATCTACAGTATACTTTCGGTGTTCTGCATATGTGTGGCACTGGGTGGACAGTACCTCATGGATCCCTGGCAAACTTTGTTGCACCTGTATCATGCCTACGCCTGCTTTTTCAAGGCATGTGATGCCAGCTGAAGGAGAACGTCCAGAGATAAATCGGTGGCTCCAGAACCGTGGCCTGGAAGAGCCACAGAACACAGAGCCCGCAGAGCCTGGTACAGTCATGTCCACTGCCGCCAAACGTCCAAGACAGGGCTTTCCAGTGACTCTGGTCCCAGGGAGCCCTAAACAGCGAAAGCTACAGCTAGGACCCCCGAAGATCAGACCACAGGCGTTGGCTTGCATGCCTAAACCCGGTCAAGCTCCTACAAGTGGTGGGCCGAGACCCAGGCGCTGGTGTCCGTAGCCCAGCCATTGGAATCATCCATTGCAACAGCTGCTGGGTGAATTCCGACGTAGAATGAGGCCTTCTTGAATGTCTAGCTCATCTTTAGCGCAGAGGAAACCAAGAGTTGAAACTAGCGCGGCCATCCTCGATTCATACAGCTGGTCCGGAAAAAAGGCTGGAATCTAGTGAGGGGCAGGTTTGGAGGCTCTGGGCTCTGGCATGTCAGCGGTACCACTGCAAAGCTATGGGATCGTAGATCCAGTGAAGCCGTTAAACTCGTGAACCTGTCATCCAGCATGCTTCGGCGATTTGCTTAAAGCTTAGTGTCAGTTGAATGAACAAACTCTTGCAAGACAGCACCACGGTGCTCGTTTTCCAGTTGAGTGAGACGCCACGCACGATTCGCTTGACGAGTCGTGTTGAATCCCCTAAGCTTGATTTAACGTTGCCTTGGTACATGGCCCTGAATGCACAGGTGCGATGTTGAGCTTCCATGAACTTAAACCTTGGACACTCCTCTGCGGATCAGCTCCAGTCACGCGGCAGCGGCTCGCTCCGTTGCCTTCCCAATACAAGAGGTGTTGCAGGCAACATGACTGCGCCTGCTTGTGCTCCTCCCTGATCCCTCAAGTGGACACGAGTTCCAACCGCTCTCCAAACTCCAAGCGCAAGTTCTCCGTGGCCTTCACAAGCGGCTGCAATTGAGCGCAGTCTCGGCCCTTGGCTGCAAACGGTTAGAGGATGCAGTTCGCCGCAGCAGCAGCAGCAAAGCCCCAGAAAAGGCATGTTCCCCGCTTTTCAAGCCCGCGACTGGGAGCCACTTGTGTGACCAGGGGTGTTGGTTGAGCAACTTCTCGGGAAAGACACGGGCGTTCACCTGCCAGCCGGGCACCAAAAGACGGCTCAGATTGGCTCTCCGAGCCTTGGACATGGAGTGTCGCTGGAAAGGGAGGCCCTGCAACAACAGACCGGTTGGTGCCAGCTCTGGAGCTAAGACAACCTAAGACGGTCGCTCCTCCTCTTCCTGCTTGATCAGGGAGTCCAGCCATCGAAGGCGCTGCTGCTGTTGCAATTCCTCCCCCCCACGGCAGTCCAGCTGCACACCGGCAACCCCATGACTTGATTGATGTCTTTAAATACTCAACTTGCAATTCCAGTCGTCTTCAGCCCTTCCTGGCCTGTGCGTTTTGCCTGTCTCCAGAGGGCGGAAGTGCTGCCTCCTTGATAACCTCGCAATGCCAATTCAACTCAGAAGGAGACATAAGGAGACAATGCAGTCGCTGGACGTTCACTGCTACAAGTAATCGCCAGCCCGGGGAATGTAGGCAGGGAGTCTGCGTCCGAGGTCGACACACACTTGCACGGCGAACATTCTGTTGCGTATCTGACGTCCTGGCGGGGTGCTTCCGCGATCCTCACCCTTAACCCCAAAATCTTCAGCCGCCTGGGACAGCAGGCCCTGCGTAAAGAGCGGACTAGGCTCCGTCCAGTAGTCTTGCCTGCCATGGCCCCAAGCAAGTACTTGAAATCCGCAGATTCTTTGCAGTGCCTCCAGCCGCTCTGCAGTGACGAAACCTCACTGGCCTTGTCCGTGCGAAGAGTAGGACAGAAGGATGCTCCACTATGCTCCACTATGCTACGTTCGGCTGCAGTATTAAGGCGTCTGCAGCATACGGAAGGAAGGCGACAGCAGTTTCGCCAGGCCTGGGTTCTCGTTTCAGCAATCTCTAGACCCTACCCTAACCCCCCAGGTACCTACTATATAGGGTACTAGGGCCCCTAGGGCCCTATATAGTAGGTACCTGGAGGGTTAGGGCCTAGACCCTGGACTACGTTCCGAGACTGCTCTTCTCAGCATCGCGTGAGACCACGAGGTGCCAAGAGGTGCGAAGGTCGCAGCGTAGGTCTGCGTCGGCTGAAGGAAGGTGGCTGAAGGGCCTCGCTGACCTCAGCTCGTGAATGGCTGCAGGGCAAACTGGAGCTCCCTTCGGCTGTACCACATTGTACCACACATGGCACAAGGTCAAGTAGTGCTATCATTGACTATCATCACACACACACACACACACTCGAAAAGACGGCGGTGATTCTGCTTTTCCTATGTGCGGCTTTTCTTCTTCCGAAGCGCGTTGTGGCACATAGGCGGGCTTGGGCGACGAGAACGTTGACATGTTGATATCGGCAAGACGGCTTGACCAAAGATTTAAGATGCTGCCGAGGCTCCTGGGACTGCGACTTTTTCACTTTGCTCTTCGCCCTGGCCTCCTCCCAACACTTCCCGTGCTGAGCTCAGGTGCAAGCCCTTTCAACGCACAACCCTGAACGCGCGCCTCGACCGGTTTGTCTGCTGTCGACTCTTCCCTTGGTGCAGGTGGCTTGCGAGCTGCAGCAAAGCTCGGTGCTGACGCTGCGAGGCTCTGGGCAATGCTCTGAAGCACATCGGAACTGACTCTCGGAGCTGCGGCGACAGTCGAATCAAACCGACAGCAAGTTCGCTTTCTCCTCTTTGGTCGGAGACGGCTTTTTGCATTTGCATGAGGCAGGCTTATCTAACTCACCAGGGTTTGTAGACTGATTGTCCAAATCCGAGATGCAGCCTGTGAAAAACAGTCGCCAACCAAACCAAGTGGGCACCTCAACTTATGGTGTGCATCTCTTCCTAGTCTACTTGTTGGCGCGTTGCACTAGCCGTCAATGCCGTGTCCTTTCTGGTGCTTTGTCCGTGGCGAGACCGCGTCCGAGATGGCAGGGTCGAAGCATGAAGCAGTGGCTTCGTCAGAAGGCCCGCGGGCAGCAGGCCCTGGAAAAGCCAACTAGGCTTGGTCAATTTCCCCCTCGTTCTTCTCGGTGTATTGCCTGGAGGCCTCCAAGGCCTTCATGAACTTTCATGCGTTGACTTGGCACCAGCTCGTCGAGAAGTCAGGGGTACGCAAACTCCGTCGGCCGAGCTTCGACCTCCATTTCGTGTGGTCTTTGCCCACCTCTAGCTGAATGTCACCAAACTCCGGGTCCATGCACATGCTGGCAGTTTCAATTTGTAGAACGTCCCAGACCAAAGCACTTCGTGCGCGGCTTCTGTTCCGTACGTCCGCCTGCCAGATAACGAATGGTGTACGATGGGACCTTGGTCTCATCAGGCTCGACTCGCAGATTTGCTCTCTTCAGATATGTTGGGTTCTCCATCTCGCTCGAAGTCCACGCGGATGCCCTCCTGCTAGGCGAAAAGCCCGATGGTTCCCCGGTACAAGACGCTGCGGAAGTTGACTTCCAGCGCCTCGCACGAGAAGGCAGAAGCTGCAGTGAGAAGCAATTGCGCAGCACCTGCGACTCTGCCTCCGAAGGGTCCAGAACTCCGGCGTCCAACCAGATCGCTGCCGGGCCTTCGCCTCCGCGGCCAGCAGCGGCAACGGCTTACGTCTTTTGCATCTCAGCCCCAATGAAGTCTCTCTCAAGGGTAGACAAAGAGATGTCCTGCAGCTGCCCGCCTTCCTCTGCTATCTGAAGCTCGTGGCCAGTGCCATCCATCGGCGCTCCGCGCTCCTGCCAGCAAAGCAGCTTATAGCAGCCCCAGAAAAGGACATTTCTGTCAGCTTCGACAAATCACTTCCATGATGGACACTGGATCTTCTCAGACGTGAGCAGCCGAGCTGTGACATGCTGTGACAGGAGCTACCCAGGCCTCCCACTGCCACGGCTCCATGGCATAGTGGCTTCCGCGCGTGGTCGGGATGAGCACCTTTCACTCACGGATCTTGCGTGCAATCTGCCTAGGACCATCATTCCCACCTCAGGACCAGCGTCCCCACGGCTGGTCAAGTCCAGCAGGCTTTCCAGTTTCGCACAACCGACCTGAACAGACGGAGTCAGAGGGTAGTGTGCCCCGATTTCTGTCTCGCTTCCTTCCAAGGCTGCTGCAGACAAGGACGATGCAAGCACAAAGCGGAGCATCGGATCGCCAACATAGCTTCCCCTCAGCACGTGCCTCGGCCAGCAAAGCCAGGAAGGACCAATCTTTGTGGAGTTGGAAAGACTCCCCTGAACTGGTGAATGACGGAGGCGCTCTCCCACCTCCATGCGGCTGAAGCCCGGGCAGCGGATGAGGTCCACGGAGCTGCCGCCCAAGAAGAGAGTGCAGACAACCAGGCTTCCAGCTTTTGAGAGGCCAGGCTCCTCAGCTACAGGGCAACAACTTGTCATCTTGACATGCCTTTGCTGAAGCCAGACCAGCACTAAGTGCTGAGGCTCTGGCATCCAGACAGCTGGTCGTGTGTCGAAAGCCGCGGAGGCAGATTGTGGCCTGGTTCAGGTTGCCCTCCAGCGCATCGGCCTAGGGAATCTTTCAGCCACTTGTAAGTCATTCAACGTCCTCTCACAAGCAGGCCCAGGCCCTGCAACCCTTGCTTCCAGAAATCTTTAGCAGAGGGTGTTCATGACGACATGAGCACCCACGCTGCTCTTCAGAGCTTCCCTGTGGCGCAAAAACGCACATCTGCAACATGCTATCTCAGTTGTGCATCCAGCATAAACGCCACCGGCTACCGGCCGCATATGCCGTATCTCTCTCCCTGCTTCAGTTGTTCTTCTGCCTCCCGAGACAAGGTTGCACACTTTTCTCGATTTCCCCGTCCTCCGATCCGCATTCCTGACTCGATTTTACCCAGGGTGATTTGTCTCCACTGTCGAACTCGCTACTGTTGCAGCCCAACGGATGATCTCGATGATGGATATACATCACATCACACGCATCGCGTCACTCCTTCATGCTGGGACGTTGTTACCGAAGACCGAAGTCTCAATCGCTGTCCCGAGGAAACTGAGGAGCTTCCAACTCGCGGACGCACTGGCTGCATGCACAATCAACCATGACGTTCTGTTCCCGTGTTGCTTGAACTCCCACGCTAGGAGATCTAGATATTGAATCTGTTGCAGGTTCTTCGAGTGCGCCAGAAGTGTGGCAGCAACATGCGGCATTCTCTGCGTCGCCGCGCCTCCAAAGTCTTATTGCCTGGCTGTGCAGACGCCTACAGCTGAAGGCACGCGTCCTGGCCTCACTTCAACCGCTGTTAAGCGAAACTCTCAGCACAAGATCATCTCTAACTGCCAGCTTCACAACCCCAAACCGGTACTTGCAAACAGAGTTGCAGGATCGTCGGTGAGGCAGATGGCCGCCCAGACGGGATCTGGAAAAAAGTTTAACACCTTGCACTCCATGTCGGATGACAAGTAGGGCAAAGTTGTAGAGAGATTATCTGAAAGCCCGTGGAAGCTTCCACGAATGGTCAAAGCTGTATTTATGTCTGCACACTCTGACATGGTTTATCGTCTGTTGCAAGACCGATAACTCCATATTGGCTGAGGAGCACCAGATGCCTTTTAGGCTTTTAGGCCTCTACACACTTCGAGCACCGAAGCCAAATGGTGCCAAGGTCTTGGATTATGAGGTGGAGTCGACAAGCCCTAAACCCGAAACAGCTCTGCCAAACCCGACGGCACTACACTTTGGGAGGAAGTCGGGTGAGGGAGGTGTGGGATTGATGGAGTGTTCAGGGCACGGCACCTGCTTGAGGAGACGGGGTGGGAAACAGACGACAGGCGGTGACAGAAATAATGATGATCCACCGTCTGCCTCCAGTGCCAAATGCGCACAGGATCGATCCAAGCGCAAGGCCTCCGCCTCGACACCACTGTGGAACCTGCATAAGACGAACCGATGGAACCGATGAGCTCACAATGGTGCCCATACTCTGCTGACTACTCTACTTCTCTATGCCTCCGAACGAAATGTGCCAGTGCCCTGGGCGAGTATTTGGACACCAGGCATTGCAGAGCTGAGTCCTCGCTGTAGCACAGTAGCTCAGGTCAAACAAGCCAAGGCAAAGAGAACTGATGAGTCCTGCTGCCACCCGGATAGTCTCGTATCAAAGCCTGGCGGAATTTGGGCAGCTTGGAGACCTGCGGCGAAAGGAAACAGACAAGATGTGGCGGAGTTCGTGCAAGGTTGCCAGAATCATGGTCACCATTCATGCACTGCAAGGCTTGATTATTAAGTTATTAAGTTCATCCGCTCACATCTCGGTCTCCCTTCCGCCTTCCCTGGTGAAGACTGTCGTGTATGTGCCCGGCTCCTCTGGCGGCACCTGAGGCCACAAGCCGAGCCGGCACTCGCCACGACGCAACATGTCACAAGTACCCCCGCCTGGGGTGAGAGCAATGCGGACTCCCAAACCTGATCGGTGAGTCATTTCGCATGCATGGCTCCTGAGCCCTCAGCTTCAAGTTACTGTATCTCATTCAAAAGACTTCATATATTTGGGCCTCGGGCAGCGCCTGTCCATTCCAGGGAGCCGCCGCTGCGGCAGCTGCGCAGAGGGCAGCGACGTCGAGGTGGAGGAAGACCTCCAAGCCGTATTCAAGTGCGCCAATTAAATATTATTGATATTCTTATTAATAGAACTATCATTATTATTATTATTATTATTATGATTATTATAAGATGCTGAGTGCACACAGGTTTTCGACTTGCTGCCGAAGGAGCAGAGGAGAGAAGAGCAGGGGGGAGCTCGCACCAGTCGCACCCACAGGCGCCGCAAGTCTCCTCCAGAAGGCCGGCCATTGGCGGTAAATTTCAGCAGAGGTTTACATGTGGGGGTTTCCGAAAATAGGGGACCCTAATATAGCACCCTAAATAGTAGGATCCTTATTATAAGGACCCCTAAATAAGGTACCCCCTATTTTCGGAAACTCCCATGTATGCTACATGCTACTATATATCCTGTGTCTCTGTCAACCAACTGTGCCTCGGCGATGAAACAGATATCCAGTGACACTCGCTCAGTTTGTCAGTTTGAGCCGGAGTATCGGACCCTGGGCGACCAATGACTGATGCACTTGCGACGCTGCTTGCTACCACCTAGTGACCTAGTGGAGCAATCGAGATTCGGCCCGCTTGAGCTCCAGACGCCGTGAGCTTGAGCTGCCCTGGAGGGAGGGACGGTACGAAGCCTCCAGCGGTTGCTGGTTTTCTCATTCGTGATGCATCCTTCGGAGCGAAGATTGCATACAACGGCCGTGCTCTTTGAACCTGCAAGACCTTCTTCTCTGTGGCCAAGCAGCTTGTGCTCACTGCCGAGAGGACGGACTGTGCAGGCCTGCAGCATGCAGTGGGCCGTCGTCGACTTCCTGTACTCCTGCACTGACCTGGCACTCCCTCTGCTCAAATTTTCTGCCATTGCGGTCAGACTTGCCGATATCCCCTTCAGGGTGGGCATCCAGTGGGCGAGTGCCCTCGCCAGCATCGAATTGAGGTATGCACAGCCTGTTGGGTGCAGTGAGACTTGGCTGAAATGCGTGGCTCTTGTGGCCTTTTCCCACCTGCCTGCCCCTTGCATTGCGTGGACACAGGCATGTCCAGGAACGCTGTAAACTCAGCATTGACCAACCTTAAGCCAACGACAGGGTCTCAAAGCAGATTTGGAAACGTGGCGGAACGACTGCGCTTTGTATTTGGAGGCTACGAGTGTGCTGGCATAAGCAAGCAATTAAAACAACATGTGCCCGCTTGAACAGCAGCTTGCAGTCAAAACAGTATCAGGAATTGCGGAAGAGTCCGCGAGGCCAAGCTGCACTTCAATTCACGACGCAGCTTGAAGCAGCCCGGGGCTGAGAGAAGGGAGGACTGTGGAACCGAAGTGATCCACAAGCCGAGCCACCGTGGTCAGGATCGTGCCCGGTTTCAGCGTACTTTGAGGTCTGCCAGCCTGAGGCACCGTCGCCACTTCGACACCGTAGCTCGCCTGGAGCAGATCTCAGGCCCTCGCCGAAGTATGGCATCCTGGCAACTGCTCCAGTGCTGGAAAACTGATCGGCAGAGCATTCTAAAAGTCAAGCTTTGCTGCCTTCGTCAGATCCATGGACAGGAGCTCGTCGCGACTCTCCCGGACTTTTGCTAGGTGTACAGACACCTCCTGTCAGCGGTGTTCACTCCGCACTCTGGTGTGAGCCTCACCGGCGCGGCCTCCTGCTGCCACACTGTTGGCAGTGGCTCTGGGTCCTGCCACAAGTCCAGAGCCAAGTCCAAGAGCCGATCGGCGGACCGGGCCGGTCAAATGTCACCGCAGCCTCCGACTCGCGGAAGCCCAGGTGCCGTGCCAGCTTGGGGAACCTCGGCTAAGTGCTCGGGTGGCTGGAAGCCGTATGCGCTTTGATCTGGTTTCTGCGCTTTGAAAGACGCAGACTTTTCACTTTCGGGCGCCGGCTCTGCACGCAGGCGCCGGGGCAGGCCCTGCTCAGAGGACGTGAGAGACTGAAAAAATAGGCCTCGCTGCTCTCGGCCGCCTCGCCGGGTCCGAGAAGGCGCTTCGCGACCTGAGGGGTTGCGGAAGGCGCGGCAGAGAATTCCGAGGCGGAGGCGTTGGAGGCGTCTTTGGACTTCTTGGGGTCCTGGCCGGTCGAAGTGCGGGCCCAACTTGCGCTGTCAGGAGGCTGCCGAGCCGCTCCTCGCAGAAAACAGGATCCCAACACAGAGAGCAGAGAGTGTCCCTCGGCGCTCCTCGAGAGCAGCAGCCCCCAGTCCGCCTCAGCTGCTTCCAAGTCGATCCTATTTTTACAAGCTTGCGCCAACTGAGAAGCAGGCTGGGCACCGGCCCCATCCCCGTGGAGCTCTGAGGTTTCGGGCAGCTGCGCACCTGGACGTTTCCAAGGATCACGCAGTAGCATCTTCCCTTCTCGCATAGAAGATGCCGCCACTCCAGCATGTTACTCCTTCCGGCCTGCAAAAGCACGACCCACAGGACTTCTTCAACCTCAGTGCAAGACTCAAAAGTTTGCGAAGAGGACTGAGCTGCACGCACAAAGCCCAGCAGAAGCAATGCCCCATCCCCCTCCACCTTCGCGACCCTGACAGTCTAACCCTTGAGTCTCAACGCAAGGCGCCGGGGAAGGAATGACATGCGGCCGGCATGCCATGGATTTCAGCTCCGCCAGCTGCTCCGAAACCTTGGTCCAGCTTCACCGGTGCTAGGAAAAGCATGCGTCAGCATGTTCGCCGTGTTGGCGCTGGAAACGCTTAGCTGACTCAGACATGCGAAAATTATCGAAGACTACGAGCGAGTTCAGTCTGCAAATTCGCCGCGCTCGACATCCTAAGCTCTCCGCAGCTTCGTCGGGCTTCGCTGCCTGAAGCTTGCCGAGGTCTCTCCTCGAAATCAGCGGCACGGACGAGGCCTGTGCTGACGAAGGCCGTCTCCGCTGCGCCGAGCGCGGCCGTGAACGCATTGAGGCCAACAGCGCTCTCGCAGCCTCGAGTGGCTTCGTGCTTGTATCCTCTTCCTTCTTGCGCAGTTTGCAAGGCGTAGGATAGGAGGTCGAAACATGTAGAATGGTGGTCTCAAGCTAAGGCGGCATATAACTCGGCCTTCCGTGTTCATATTGGGACTTCTCGAGACGTGGCACTTACCGACTCACAGCTGCGAAGCTTGCGCTTCGTAACGGTTCCTTCCCGATCTCTCTGCTTAGAACGAACCTGCATCATCATGATGGAAAGCTGCACTCGGACTCGGTACCTTCCACAGCCTCCGAGTCCCATTTCCACAGTTACAGTTTGTTACAATTTACAACTTGGACCTGCAGTTGCCTCAGGGCCTCTCTGCTCCTGACGGGAGATGACAGCGAGCCGGAGGGGGTCTTGGGAAGCCTTCGGCGCGCCTGCACCTCTTCCGGCACCATGGCAGCGGCACGCGAGGCGAGCTCCTCCTGGCGCAGGGGCGCCGGAGCCGACTGGAAACATTTCTGACCAGCCACCCTCACGTGGGGCAGTCATTGCTCGATCGCAGTGGAGGCGACTTGTGTTGCTTCTGGTAGCACACAGACTCCCAAACTGCACTTCACTTCTCTTCGCACCGCACCGTAGATCTATAAACCACCGTGTGCATGGGAATATCGTTGCCTGCCCTCTTCAAGTTGCCGTATTAACACATGCAGCGTCGGCTCGCCAGTTCGCAGTTCCTGCCCAGGGCAATGGTGAGACTCAGCTGGACTTTGCTTTCGCAACGCAAACTGCGCTCGCCTGGCAAGGGCTCGAGAGGCCCCGCCCTGGGCTGTGAGAGCTCTGCACAGTGCCGCTGCTGCTCGGCCACACTCCTCGACTGCACGCAGGAGCCTTTTCATGATTTCGCTGCGAGGTGTTGTCACAGACCGGATCGGCAGAACATCCAGGCAAGCAGAGCATGGGCGAACTCCATGGCTAGGCTACTCAGACCACGTTCCTCCGAAGTGCTGTCAACAACAATCAGCTGACTCGGTCCCGAAACAACACATACCCTCAAGCTGGCCCTTGCCTCAGCGGCGCTGGCGGTGGCTCGGGCTGTTGGGGCAGGGGCCGAGGCTCAGCCAAAGCCCGGACGCGGGCCTGTTGCCTGGCGGAGCGCAGCATGAGGAGGATCATCACCGACCTCGCCACCATCAGCATCATCTCAAGCGCCAGCATCAACATGATCCTCACAATCAGCATCATCTTCAGTACCAGCGCCATCATCGTTGTCAGCATTTCCCGCAGATTGCAAGACTTCATAACCCAGCCAGCTAGTGTGACTCTGCCGGGTCGACTCTGCCCAGGAGCGGACATCCTGAGGTGCCTTCCAGGAATCTCCGAGACTCTGGCGAATCGAATGCCGTTGGGGTGAGGGGAGGCTGGCAACTTCAAGAGTGATGAGATGCGGCATATATATATATATATATATATTATGGTAATAAGAATAATAACTCTGCGAAGGAACTTGGAAATGCAAAGGCCCTTGACCATGGCCGCCAGGTCTGGGGGCCGGGCAAAGGCCTCCGGCTCCTCCGCAGACTCCATGACCCTGGGGCGGGCGAGATCCGAGCAGCCTTGGCAAACACTTCTACACCTCAACTCGGCCAGCCCAAACTCTCGAGGTCTACAGTACTGAATTCCTACGAATTCCTATACTGCATCACCGTCGGAAATCGGTCGGTCTCGCGAGTTCATTCCGGAAGTCATTCAGGCCGTGGCTCGCCATCTGCGCTGCGGGCGTTCGGAAGAGTCTAGCGATCTCCTGGGAATTCTGCCCTCTTCTGTCCTCTTCTGCCTGTGAGGTGCCACGGTCCCCGTCGTTTTTGCCTCCGCCTCCGCAGCGGCCGCAGCAGCCAGGCGATGGTCCGGCTCCCAGGAGTCCCGCGCCGCCTCGCTTCAGAGTACAGTGGACCTTTGCTCCGTCTCCTGAGACCTGAAGCTGTCGAGCCCAGGTAGCCCCTGGGCCCCTCTCTCTCTCTGTCTCTGTCACCAATGGCTGAAGTTCACCTGGAGGGTCTCTGCCACCACTCGCTGCCGGCGGTTCAGTGCCAGGCCTGATGCTTCAAAAGCGCTTTCGAAGGACAAGTTCAATAGACTCTTAGAATTGTAAAGTTCAGCATTCTTCTCCTTGCCAAGCCATTTCGTTCGTCGCATCCTTGCGACACACGCAGAAGTTACGATGAACTGTTGTGCACGAGAATTTCCATTCAGCTTTTCAAGACCCTGGCATCAAAACTAGCTTAAGAATGAGTAAGACTTGCGTGGATAAGCCAATCCCATCCGAGGTGCAGCTGATCCGCTGCTGCTGCGCATACTGCTTGTCAAAACGAGCCTCCGTCGAATACCGTGGAACCCTAAACCAGACGGTGTCATGCAGTCCATGCAGAGAGCAGGCTCAGACAGGTTCGGAGAGTACCGGCTAAGTGTGATCCAACCAGGCCTTGAAGGCCGCATATCCGCCGTCTGCTTCTTTGCTAGGCCTCCTGTGGCTGCAGCGCTCCGCTTCTTTTTCTTAACTTTTGTTGATAGCATAGATCATATAGAACTTACTTGGAAGCCCTGCTAAATTTTGGGCGGTTGGGATGCTCCGAAAATGAGGCTAGCGTTTTCGTCTGCAACTCAGCTGCTCAAACTGCCCCGGGACATGTCGACCAAGCCTAGATTCGGACTAATGTGTACCCAGAGAGCCCAATACCCCTGAGGTAAGGAATATGCCTTAAATTATAGGGGCCTTAGTATTATGAATTGAGGTACATTCCTTAATTGCGGGGTATTGGGTTCTCTGGGTAATACAAGCAGACCTCAGCTTCAGTTGCACTTCTATGTATGCGCTGTCGTGCGGTGATGCCGCATGCGAGGTGGAAGAATGCAGAGCCGAGCGCTACGCTACAGTACATGGGTCTCTTGAAGACAAACATTGCACGAGGAGCGATCAACAACGGACCACCCAATAAGACTTCCAAGTGAAGCCTGAAGGCCTGCTTGTGGCATCTGCAACGCTTTCACCATGCAGGCTGCCGTCAGCTCCTGCAACCATGAGCACTGGGAAAGCTTCCCTGCAGTTCCTGTCTAAGAACCCAGCCTTCAGCGCGGTGGACATGGGCGTCCGCAGCCTGGGCTCGAGGTCTCTCAAAGCGCTCAGTTTTTGCTCTTCGAAGCCTCTGGGTACCCCACTGGCCGACTCTTCCCCTGGCTCAGCACCGCGGCAGCTGACAACGACCTCGCAGCGATTTCTTGCTGGCCACGGTCACCGGGGGTCGAATGCAGCAGCCTCGCAGTCGAGCTAAGCCCACGGCTTTGAAAGCCTCTGCTTCCGAAGGAGAGGCCTGCAGACACGCTATGACTTCCTAGAACTCTGAGCTTCCGGATTTCGAAACCGGCTTCAGCAACCCGCTTCAAGCCAACCATTCAGGAAAGCTCCTAGAACCAGAAACCGCAGATCCTTTCCGCAACAGTCTCCGGTCCTGGAAGTTCTTCTCTCTTCGGTGACCTGGGACGTCAGGTGCGATAGCTGCACTGACGGCTGAACAAGCAGGTTCACTCCGCAAACCCTCCCTGCTTGCTTCTCCCCCTTGAGTTGTCGGCCGTCCATTTGCTAAATGGATCCAAGGCTTCTTCTGAATCCGGCATTGTACATCTGCCCGAGGTGTGTTGCTGAGGAGTGCGCAGAATACGTTTGCTGTGGCAGTGAAACTTGCAGGGCGAATTCGAACCATTCTTGCCTGCTGTTCAATGCAGATGGTTTCTGCAGCACCGCTTGCATAGATACGTCAACATGTCGTCTGTTGCTATGCTAGTCTCTGCAACGTGTCTAAGTTTGAATCCTGCAACTTGAATTCTGAGCCGGAAACAGTCGTGTGCGACAAACAGCTGGAAAGCAAGTACTTGTTGCGGTCTGCAGCGTGGGAACGAAGCTTCGATGAAAGCGTTCCACCATGCCGAGAATGGTCGTGATGTTTTTGTAAATGTGACAAGTATCGAAACACATGAAGCTTGCAGACTTCGGGAAACAGTACACCCTGCAATTCAACGTCTCAGGTGTGTGGTCGAACACATAGATCGAAAAAGGAAGACTGACATCGCCTGAGTGACGGCTGCGACCGGCTCAGTCGGGATCGCCCTGAGCAGAAAGATATCACAGAGCTATTGATGCTTTCGCTCTCCTGTCTATAGATCCCCCCAGCTGCCGATCTTCTGAGGAAATTCGGAAACACAGCCTTGAAAGCACCCTGCCTGCGCTAACAAACAAAACGCACTCTGCAGCACCCCAAGACCTCTCAGCAGAGGCGCCTCCCGCTCGTTGCTCCTGTGCAACGATCGACAGTACTAGAGAAGATGTAGTGCTTCTAACACAGATGCAACATCATGGAATGTGAGATTGGGAAAGAGATGGAGAGAGAAAGACGGACTGACCGGCCGACGGACCGATCTAGCTAGCTAGTGCTCGCTAGCTAGCAAGCTGGCTAGGTAGGCACGTAGCTGAGTAATTAGGACGGAAGGTAGGTGGGAAGGTGCGTGAACCGATCCGTAGGTAAATAGATAGATGGATGTGCAACTGGTCAGACATATGACTCTTTCTTTCTTTCCTTATTGCCTCCCTTCCTTCCTTCTTTTGTGGTCGTGTGCGTGTTTCTGTGTACCTCCTGTGAGCCAAGGGTACGGACTAGCATCTGGTAGATTGTTCAACAGTGTATGTCAGCGGGGAGATGCTGGGGATTTCTGCAATCAGCATCCAACAAAGACGCTGCAGATTCCAGGGACATGCGGAAAGGATGCTGTCTGCATGTACCTGCTGCGTCTTTTTTCTACATGGGAGCAGGAGCAGGCTTAAGGGGTCAAAGATGTGTAGTCAGGAAAGTAGCACCCAGTACTCTTGGAGATCTGCGCAAGTGTGCTCCAGACAGCATTCGTTAATCGCGCTGTCTTCTCCGGGGTGGCCCGGATGAGTTGTGGTGATTGCAATTGACCGGTATCGGTCGCCACCCTGACCACTTGAGCCGGAATCAGTCTACAGAAGCGAAGCCAGCAGATCATTGTGTTTGTCATTGATCTCCGTCCGAGAGTTGTGCTTGAATTGACGGATTGATGAGCGAACGATTGAGAGATTCGCTTGCTCGAGCTATAGCTTTGCACTGCCTGCGAAACGTATCCGTTTGAAGCTCAGCCATGTGGCGCTCAGATTCCAATCAGTGGTCGGCAAGACACGTTATCAGTCATGTGACATGTTTTCAATTGATCTTCGCCCAAGAGCTGCGGTTGTCGTTGTCTTTGGCGTTTTGAAGCGTTTTTGACCCAGTGACAGAAGTGATGAAAGCAAGTGCTTGTTTCTGTTTGTTGCATGAACAGATCTACCAACTGGTGGGAAGAGTGTTTGTTTGGTTTGAAAGATCAATGTCTGTATAAAGACCTCTGAGTCAAGTGTCAGCTGCCACTCAAGCTTGCAAGTCCTTTGTGGCTACGTCCCCTGATCGGAGCACCTGACAGAAGCGGGACACTTCTGACACAATGAGTTGTGTCGTTGTCTGGGTCTTTGTCAGAGTTCGGCAATATTGATTGCAGTTCAGGCGCTCAGCGTGGTTTTACAGACGATTGGTGTTTGTTCTTCTTCTTATTCGTACAACGGCATGTTGTGCGACGAGCTCTTATGGAAGTTTTTGGCCACCCACGAAAGCCGATGCGAGACCTGCCCTAGCGCATCGTATTTTCCAAACCGGTGCCAGACTGAGTAGTCACAGAGCTGCTTCAGCAGCTACGCTCCCTGATTGGAACACCTGACAGAGGCCGGACACCTCTGACCCAATCAGTTAGAGTTTGCCAATATCGATTGCAGTTCCGGCGCTTCAGCGTGGCTTTACAGACGATTGGTATATTAATCTATTCGTGCATCGTTTTTCCTATCACCGCTAGGAAAAGTTGACTCTGCTCTGATATACTTTGATGTTATTTCTGCCGAATGCTGCCCCGACAGTCACGTCGTCGTGTAATGGTGCTGACGACGCTGCGCTTTCTTCGTGCTCGTCGTCGTTTGATGGTGGTGCTGATGACGGTGAACTTGACGACGACAAGATCGAGGAACCGCGATGAAGATGTTCAGCAGGGGCGTGCAAGCCCTTTGCCGCATCTGTTAGCTTTGAAAGGGCAGGGTCAGGACCAGATCTACCAGCTGGTGGATTCCGAGAACACAGCCGTATGAGCGATGCATCATCCAGTCTGCCTGCTTGCTGCGGAGAGACTTTGGGAAAGAGCGAGAAATGCAGGAAGGCATTCCAAGTCTGCTGTCGGACTTGACAGCCCTAAAGGAGCGGAGTCAGACCTGGGTTTTCTGCAGTCCGCATCCAACGAAGACGCTGCAGATTTCCTTGTGACATGCGTAAAGGACGCTTTCTGCATGTACCTGCTGCGTCTTTTTTCGACATGAGAGCAGGAGCAGGCTTAAGGGATCAAAGATGTGTAGTCAGGAAAGACGGTCCCAGTACCCGGATTGGAGATCTGCACAAGCAAGTGTGTGCGTGTCTGTTTAGCACAGGCCTAGCCTGCGGCTCCGGCTGGGCCCTCTGCTCCAAGTGCGGGAAAAGGCACTGCGGCCGCGGCTTCTCCATGTTGCACCTGACGGTGAAGAGACGAGACCTTAGACGAAGGTTAAGGACTCTGATAGTCTGAGTCTGATTCATAGTCATAATCTACTCATGACCTGCTTTCAATATGGCGCACTGGAATGGTCCCGTCGTCCTGTGACTGAATCCCTCTTTAGAGTCCTTCGCACCCTCCAGGTGAAACGACCACTCCCTCTTCGATTCATCACGCTTGGGCGGCGGCTGTTTTTGACCCTAGCTTGCTTGATCCATGCCGTTGAATTTGCCCAAGGCAAGTGTCCTTAAGTGAAATTCTCCAGTTGTTTCTGGATCGGATGAGCCCTTACATAGATTCCTGATCCTGGCATTGTCGATGGTTATCGGCATGCCTTCCCCCTATGAACGAGTTTGCTTGATTTTCGTGCAACATTGCGAGCAACATGGATTCCTGCCAACTACACACAGGCAGCTTCTTCGGGCACTGCGTGAAGAGGACGCCCATACCACTTTTTCCACAGTCGTGCGGTGAACTGCAGAGATATGCAGCCTACAGCTGCCTAATCCACAGAACACTCCGTCCCCAGGTCCCAAGTGCCCTTGGCTGATCAAGGTCGTGTAGATTTCCCGTATCCGAGTAAGGCTGAGGGGCTCTTGTGGAGAGGCTGGGGACTGAAGCCATAACAGCAGCAACAGATGCGCCGCCACCTGTCATTAACAAGCCGAGCGAAATCGCACCCTCCGCCCGGAAAGACCATCTCTGCTGGCAATCAGCTAAAGTAGTCCTCACAGGAAACACCAGGCAGGTCTTGTGCACAGGAGACGAGAGGCTATAGGAGGCACGATTCGCTGTAGATTTCATAGCTTGTCGGCCTTCTCCACGTTCTTGGCGAACTGCGCCGACCCTGGTTCAAAGGGAGCAACTTCAAACTGCAAACTTCAACCAAGCTTAGACGGGCCAGTGTCAGCATGGGCACATGGGTCCACTCCCAAATACTACTCGACCAGGAACAACCTTGTCCGCGCCTTCTTTGATCTCATCCCCAAGCGCATCCCATTGAGCCCTCGGCCACGCGTGGAGAGCTGGGATTGACGCTTCAAGCCAGCTTGAGGAGGAATGGCCGAGTTTTGCCCCAAGCTGCTTGAGATGGTCGCTCCAGTCGCCCCAAGGATCGTCGTCGGAACGTTCTTGCTCTCGGGTCTTCCGCCGAGCCTCGCTTAGGCTGACAGTTGGGCGAGCGCTACGAGTAGTGGCAAGCCACCTGCGATCACCTGCAGCACGGCACTGCTGACATTCGCAAGGCTGGCGCCTTTTTCTCCTTCTGGGGCTCAGCCGAACGTGGGACGCCATTGAGTATGAAATCGGCAGCCTGAGGAGCTTTGAGGGAAGTGCTTCTTAAAGCCTGCTGCGAACAAGTTAAGACTGCAACAAACAACACCACCTCGCTTCAATTAGTCGGAACGGAATTCCACCGTCCCTCTCTTGTTCCAAGTCCCTTCTTGCCCAGGACGTGCCTTCTTCAAGTTCTGCTTCTTCGCTCTGCAGGCCTTGTTGGAAGCTTGACAGTCCTGGCAGGAAGTGCCCGCAGAGAGCTTTCAAGGAATCTGGGCTTCGGAGGCCCAGTAGGCGGCCTTGGAGGCCTCCACGTCCCGGAGCTGTGAAGTGTAGGCCTGGCCATGCTGGGCCGAAAGAGTCTGAGGACTTCGCACCCGTACAACAGTTCAAACTATGGTCTCAAGAAAATGTGCCGCCTTCCTAACATCCTCGGGCGCCGTGTCCCGCTCCACCTCCAGGATCACCTTTGGAGCCCACGATTTGCGTGCTCAAGTCCCTGTCAAAATACATCTGCGAAGGTCAAGGCTAG